CCCCCCCCCCCCCCCCCCCCCCCCCCCCCCCACCATGGGCACAGAAGCCGGAAGGGAGGCCTCGCCAGGACTGAACCCTGATTGCACCTTGATTTTGGCCTTCTAGTTTTCATAACTGTAAGAATGCAAATTTCTACTTTTAAGCCACCTAGTCTCTGATATCTGGTTACAGCAGCCTGCGCCAGTACAGCCTCCAAGAGAAAGCTTAGACTACTGTATGCAGTTCCTGGTTATTCTCCTCTTACGGATCAAGGTCCTGCACTGCCTGCTGTCCAATTTTTGAATATAGTCATTTCACACATTTCATCTTTCCCTAGTTTATTCAGGAAGGTTCAGTCCCAACTAAATGAATTTCTGAGGAGAGAAAAAGATGGAGAGTCACAACCCCACCATGTGGGACACTTGAGAAATCTTCAGTCACCATGCACTATTCTCCAGGGAAAAAACAAGTACATTATGCCATTTTGACTGGGGTGGCAGTGAGGGTGCTATGTATCTCAGGCAGCCCAGCAAGAGTCCTAGAGAGATTTCAGATTTCATCAAGATAACGCTTCTGGTCCTGTTGATACTTGTATCGACATCGAGTTCTCATTCAGTCCAAGAGGATATAATCAGTTTACTTTCCATCATACAATTTTCCTTGGAATTACTAAGAAAAATGAACCCCCCAAGTGAATGTCTAGGCTCAGGGTCCTTCCTGAAATCCGTTGTCACAGGACATGGACTATAGATGCTAAGATTATATCCTGGGCTGGGCCACAGAGGGCAAGGACGAGGTCTCAGAAAAACAAGAAAGAACAATCACACTAAACCACTAGGCACTTTAATTACAGTGCATTTCATGCTCTCAGGGCAAGAAGGGAGGCTCCTTAGGCAATGAGCAGAAAATAGATACCGAGAGGAATGTAAATGATACCCAAGGGTTAAAAGCTATATCGTAAACAAGAAACTTCAGACTTAAAGGAGGAGAATTCTGAGGGAGTCTAGTTTCAGCATAACAAGGAACGCTAAAGCAAAAGAAAACTCTGGAATACAAAGGGGCTTTTGGAACCACAAAAGCTCACACTGATCTTTTCATTGAATACATTTCTGTATATATTTCCAAGGTCAAAGATGTCTAAAGAGATGCTAAGAGAATGTCAAAATGTTTTTGTTAGAGCCTCTGAATATTTCTTTTCCCTCCCCTGCCTCCCCTCCATTCCCACCCCTCTATCTGCACTACAGCCAGAATCCCTTTGGTTTTTTTTTATTTGTTTAAATTCAAGTTAGTTAACATACGGTGTAATATTGGTTTTAGGAGTTTGGTGCTTCATCTCTTACATAAAACACCCAGTGCTCTTCCCAACTGGTGCCCTCTTGTAATGCCCATCACCATTTAACCCATCCCTCCCCCCCTTCCTTCCAGCAACCCTCAGTTTGTTCTCTGTATTTAAGTCTCTTTATGGTTTGCCTCTGTTTCTATCTTCCCTCCCCTATGGTCATCTGTCTTGTTTCTTAAATTGCACATGAGTGAAATCATATTTGTCTTTCTGACTTATTTCTCTTAGCATAATACGCTCTAGTTCCATTCATGTTGTTGTAAATGGCAAGATTTCATTCTTTTTTATCGCTGAGTAATATTCATTGTGTGTGTGTGTGTGTGTGTGTGTGTGTGTGTATACACACATTTCTTTATCCATTCATCAGTCAATGGAAATTTGGGCTCTTTCCATAATTTGGCTATTGGTGACAGTGCTGCTATAAACATTGGGGTCCATGCGCCCCTTCGAACCAGCATTTTTGTATCCTTTGGATAAACACCTAGTAGTGCAATTGCTCGACTGTAGGGTAGTTCTACTTTTTTTTTTAATGTTTAGTTTTGAGAGAGAAAGAGACAGAGCAGAAGCAGGAGAGGGACAGAGAGAGAGGGAGACACAGAATCTGAAGCAGACTCCAGGCTCTGAACTGTTAGCACAGAACCAATGTGGGGCTTGAACTCGCCAACAGTAAGATCATGACCTGTGCCAAAGTTGGTCACTTAACTGACTGAGCCACCCAGGCACCCGGGTTGTTCATTTTTGTTTTCCAGAGTGGCTGCACCAGTTTGTGGAGAAAGAGAAATACTTTTGCACTGTTGGTGGGAATACAGCCAGACTCCCTTCTTAAAACCCAGATCTGCTCATCCCCACAAAAACCTTCTGTGGCTATCATCCAGAGAATACCACCCAACTCCTCAGCTCTTAATGCCCTCAATCATCTTTCCCCAACCTACCTAATGTATCATACGTCCCTCATCCCCCGCCCCTCCCCCACATGCCGTGCCCCAGCCCCCTTTCCCTACAGGAATTACCACAAAGACCCTGTGCCTCTGTGCTTTCTGATCTCTAAAATGCTGTTCCTTCTGTGCCTTCCCTCCTCACACCCATTTACTGAAAATTCTATCTTCAAGGATTTAAATCCAATGTCCCATCCCTCTCTGCTCCCGAGCCCTTTTGTGAGGCTTCTTATTGGGATTTAACATGCTTTGCAGTGTTTAACATTTTTGTGTGGCTGCCTCTCCTGCTCTAAGCTCCCTGAATGCAGAAACTGTGTTACACATCTTCACAACTTTTCTCTTCCATGTTACCAAACACAAAGAAACCCCTCCAAAAAAAGCTTTTAAGAAACGAAATGGAAATGTTATTCTGAAGTCGGAAAATTCCAAGAATAGGATTGACTTACAAGTGTGGACTTGCTTGGCTCTCAGTGCAGATTCCAAAGCTACTTCCCCCGCCTCAGTCAGCCTAAGGAAAGGTAGAAGCCCAGATGATTAAAGTACATTTTAATTGTTGGAAAACAGTTCTGGACTCCAGTGGTCTGTAATGCTATCACTTCTTACCATCCAGCTCATTAATACAAATGCTTGGTGGCGGGGGACTACCCCCAAAGTCAGTCTCCCCCTCCCTTAGGTTATGTATTTCAAAGCTTCACTTTCTCACACACATTCCAAGGAAACAGGAACTTCCATAGGAAACACTGAAGCCTTTCTGTACTCCCTTCTGTCCTCTGGGGTGGCCCACTACCGACAAGAAGCAAAGTTCTGGGACATTTTTCCCTATTCAAAAAGAAAAAGGATTTAATAAGAGCAATTTCTCTTTATTGGCTTGTTACATTTGACAGTCCTTCCCACAAAAATGTTTATCACCTTCAATTTAGCCTCTATGTCATGTCATTATTGGAATGAAAGTCTTCCTCTGTTAAGGTATTTTTAAACAAATACAGAACTTCTCAAAGAGGCAAAGGGATGTTTTGAGAGCACACTAGGCCTCTCGGACAACAAAGCCCTTTCAGGCTTGGTTAGAAAAGAAGCGCTGCCCTCCCCCACCCCAAGGGGCAGGCAGGCTAGGGCGCCTCCCCTCCCAGGTCCCAGCTGGAGGCGGTGGTTGTGAGGCTCCATTCCGGGACCCCGAGAGGCCACTTTGCACGTGCAGGTGTCACTCTGCACAAGCAGATGTCCGAGCATGTGTCTCCAGACTAGTCTCTGTTGCTCAGTCCTTTTCTTCCTCTTTCCCAGCACCCTCGTCCCACTCTCCTAACTGTACCCCAGAGTTCCCAACACTGGCCCTACTGACATTTTGGACCAGATTATTTGTTGTGGTGGGAAGCAGTATAGGACGCGGTAGGTTATTCTGCGGCATCTCTGGCTCTGCTCACGGCTGCCAGGAGCAACGCACCCCTGCCTCCCAGTCGTGACAATCAGAAGTACCTCATCACCAACGTCCCCTAGAGAATAAAGCTCCCACAGTTGAGAGCCACTGCCTTGAAACCCATTCATTCATCCACCCACTCATTCACAGGCAACATTCGTTGGGCTACCATTTTTGCCTCCCTCAAGGTTTTGAGAGGCTTTTTTTTCAGCATGTTTGTCAGGATTTTACTCTGTACGCATTTCCTTAGCTGTTTGGTATGGTAAACTCTCAACATTTTATAACTCAGAGTTGTGCTTCTCATCATCTTTCCACGTGCATCTTCTGGGAAGAAATTTCCTGGAACACATTCCTTCAGTCATAAGGTAGTTCTTAAGTGTGGTGTTTTACTACAGACGATACAGAAAGTTTATAGAAGTTTTAAGGAATCGAGCCTACGATGTAGCTTACTTTGTTTCCTAGGAGGATGTGTACACACAAGGGCACTCCCCCGAGAGAAAGAAGGTGGCATGGAGAAGTTACACACAGCCTCAGGAGAAACAGAATTTTTTGAGAATATGAATTTCACTTGAAGCTTTAGGAAGTTAAAAATGAAGTTTTATGTTAAAACCAACATGAACAATTTGGAAGGAAATGAAATTTTTCACATGGATTGTAAACTAAAAGATGTCAACAAAATTGTTTTGCAATGGGTCACATTGAGCCCCGTCCCAGGCAGACCTGTTCTTCCGCAAGAGCACGGAGAAACCCTAGTTTCATGGAATGAAGCATCTTTCCTGCACTAAAAATCCAAGCACTTGAAGGGAACATAGCATGCAAACTCCAGCTCAGAGGTAGGCGTGGTGTTTAAAAAAAATTTTTTTTTAATGTTTTATTTATTTCTAGGAGAGAGAGAGAGAGAGAGAGAGAGAGAGACAGCGTGAGCAGGGGAGGGTCAGAGAGAGAGGGAGTCACAGACTCTGAAACAGGCTCCAGGCTCTGAGCTGGCAGTCAGCACACAGCCCGACGCGGGGCTCGAACCCACAAACCATGAGATCATGACCTGAGCGAAAGTCAGACGCTTAACCGACTAAGCCACCCGGGTGCCCTGAGGCGTGGTGTTTTTAAACTCATCTCATGGATGAGGTAACCTCCTTGCCTAGGATGTGTACATGGAAATCTCTCCATACCCTTTGCAATTATCACATGAGCAGTGAAGACGGTAAGTGGTCAGAAAAACTGCCATTCATAAATCCACTTTTAGGGAAGGGTCTTTCCAGGCGGGTAAACAGGCTGAATCAACCTGTGGCTTGCATTTGCTTGTGTGAGGATAAGAATTTGTCATATAGACTTGCCCTTCCTCCTGGGGTCTCCTGTACTCTGCCTTTTTTTTTTTTTTTTCCTTTCTTGGGGGGTGGGATCAGTTGATTTGAAAAATTCCAGTCCATCCTAACTAAAGTAAAAGTAACTATACAGTTGTGAAGTAAAATGGAGATTAAATTTTGAAGTTTGCTTTGTTACTGTCTCTTCTCCTCTGACCTGGAACAATTTCTAATGAAGCCCTCTTTGATTTTACTCCTCCTTCCCCAAGCCTCACCAAGGATAGAGCTGGGGGGGGGGGGGGAGTTCCTTTTCTGTCTGTTGTAGCATTAAACAAGCTGAGGAACCATGGCCAAGATACTTAACCTCTCTTGATCTTCCTTTGAAGTACTGACGTAGATCTGAAAATCTTTCACAACACCATGTTTCCATATATCTGTACGTTACAGAATTTTACTGGGAGAATCAACAAGAGGTAACCTATTGTTTAAACATTTTAATACTTTATAGCGTCTCATTTCTAAATTCTATGAGCTAGTAAGAATGAAATCCAGCAGATTTTCATATACTTAGAAAAAGAATAAGGGAAAATGTCATCAGCATACTCACTTGCAACCAGGTGTGCCCTTAGCAACTTGGGAGTAACAATAAACAAAGGAGCAGAAGTTGTGTTTTTCTCTGGTAAGAGTTGCTAGTACACAAAGTAAATGAGCATTGCCAGTGGCCTGAGGGAATACGGGAGCGCCCTGCTGCTCTGCTGCTCAAGGCTCTAATACCTGTATTAAGCAAGCCTTGGGGCCCAATGCTGGCTCTACCCATTCCAGATTAACTCCCAACCAGCTAAGCACTTCATCTGAGCAGCTTATAACTACAAAGCCATAAACTCATTTTAAGCAATCATAAGCCTGAATAGGAAGGAGGCTGAGTGGAGGGAGAAAGGTCACTAATTAGAGGAAAGGACAGGTTAACAGGAGACAGTATTTTTAGAGTGGCTATCAAAACTCAAAGATAGGAATGTGACCCAAGCTGCACCAGAGCAGTTTCTGAGCCTCCATCCGTGCTCTCATCCCTCCCTCATCCTTCCCAACCCCGCGAAATCTTCTCCCCAGTTCTGATGAAGGCTCATGGAGAAATGAGACCAACTTAGATTGAGAGTTCTGATAATCACACTTGAATCCCTGAGGCCAACTCTACACTGGAGTTCTCAGTTACAGTGAACCAATAAATCCTTTGCTCTGGTGGGTTTAGTTCAGATTGGATTTACTCGTGGTTTTAAGAGTTCTAGTCTGATTACTACAATAACACGAAAAGTATACATTTCCCCTACTCAGAAAAATAAGAATTTAAATAAATTTTTTTCATGTAAAAAATGAAAATCAGTTGTTACTATTAAATATAAGCCTAATGCAGGGATGTTGCCTGTTTTGTGCTAAGAAAATCTAGCAATTAAAATCAATTATAGACTCAAAGATTTACCATTTCCTTTTAAAACATCCATCTAAAAAGTAAAAAAAAATTTTTTTTAATATTTATTTTTGAGACAGAGCATAAGCAGGGAAGGGCAGGCGCACACGCACACACACACGCACACACGCACACGCACACACACACACACACACACACACACACAATCTGAGGCAGGCTCCAGGCTCTGAGCTGTTAGCACAGAGCCCAACTAGAGACTTGAACTCACTAACTGCAGGATCACGACCTGAGCTGAAGATGGATGCTTAACCAACTGAGCCAGCCAGGTGCCCCTAAAAAGTTTTAAAATACGAACCCAACAAGGGATAACTACACAAATATGCTGCATCAATAAAAACGATTACTTGGGACAATTAAGTCCTCAATGTTTTTTAGAAACATAATCTCCCTCTCCTCACATTCTGTTTCCTCTATGAGTTCCCATTTTACTGAGTTCTTACTGAGTCATTCCAAAAATGTGAAGCAAATGGACACCATTTTCTTCTGTTCCATGAGGTACACTTTCTTCCAGGCTGAGTCTGAAGTCTTTTGCATCTGATCTATGGTGCAGTGCTCCTCAGTGTGGACCACAGACTGACAGCACCAGCATTATGAGGAAGCTTATCTCAAATGCAAATTATTGGGTCCCATCTCAGAACAACTGAATCAGAATCCCAATAGATAGAATCTAGGAATTTGCCCCAATGACTCTTAGGCACACAAAAAGTTTTAAAACTAAGGTTGCAGTATGTTTACATTGTTATCACGTTCCTTTTTATTTTGCTCAAGCTTAACACGGGCAACAGAAAACATTCTAAAAGCTTTGATAGAGAGTAGCGACTTAACACTCTTTCCACTCTATCCGAGACCAGTTTATATTTTTCTTCAAGATACAGTTCGGAACTGAGTCTGTATCTATTTGCTTTTCTGAAGCCTAGGGAAAAAGAGCCAAGGACGGTGGAACGGAAAGGCTCACCAGGATTTTTAAAAAATACCTGAACTTTGTTTCCTCTTGTGAGATCGTTAAATTGTCTCTATCAGTCAAGAGGAAGGTCCTCATATTATTTTTCTCCAGATTTGGGAATGTAAGTATTACCTTCTCAGGAATTCTGGAGGTTGGGGGTAATGATGGACAGTGATGTAAACTGCTGCTCTCTGCTCCGACCCAGCACAGATTATACCACAGATGCGTTGTTAGTTCAGCAACACTGAAACGCAAGTGGACCAGAAGGCTTGAGAAGCAGTTTAAAGTCCAAGAGCAGTAAGACGTGAGTGCCAGACAGAGAGGGAGTAGGTGAAGTGTTATTAGCACTGGTTGGGTTAAAAAGGCATTAGAAAGAGAACATACTTTTTGATAATCAACAATTTTTATGAAATAACATTTCCTAAATACAGTCGTCATGTGAAGTGCCCTAGCATAGATTTAATTCCACAAAAGAGTGGTTCCTTTCACATCGGCTCAATGGAAGTTTATTTTCACAATGCTATCGTACGTAGTAAGCCACTAAACTTTAGAATCCCTTCTGTTTTTCTCAAGCGATTTTTTTTTAAAGCCTTAGTATTAAATATCATCAAATCATGCTTTAAAAACCTGCAGGCTAGCTTTAAAATCTGAATTACTTAAAATTATGACAATGATAAAATCCCAACCAATCAAGGTCCCAAACTAGTAACATTCAAAATAAGAAAGAATCATCATTGGAGTCTGTTATGTTTCGGTAATGGTCAAGGCTGACCAGCTGCTGTCATTAATAGTAATGCCATAAAAATGTATTTATATTCTGAAGCATGTGTTTTGTATATCTTGATACTGAGGTATAAAGCCATGTTTTGTCAACATTTTTTTATTAATCTAACAAGTAATTTCATCCACAACAGCAACTGTGGTAAAAACTGCAATAACATTAGCCAAGCTGCTGTGACGTTCTATGGTCTTCTAATTAACACGGTACATAAACATTTATGAACAACACAGCCACACCAATTTGTAAGCAACTAATAAATTCAGAAATGTTAGAAATATAATAAACTAATTCTAATTACTTTCTTTTTAACTTTCCTTTTCCTTATTGTTTTCAATATTCATGCTTCCCGCTAATTTTTTCACTAGACTATTAAATCCGAGATTTAAATAAGGTCAAAGATAAAACAATATTGAGATGAGTGTCAACAAAACAAGACACTGAGTTTTATCAGTGTCTAAGCCACTTAAAGCTATTCTCCAAAAGACAAGTTATTCACTTAAGACAAACATGAAAATATTAAAGTTAAAGTTTAATCTTAGGTTCTTCAAGGTTGACCTGTCAGATACATGGGAATCCCAAGACTTGAGTTTGGAAGGTCTAAATGCCAAAAGGTTAACTTGTCACTAGTGGAATGGACATCAGCTGAACAAAGACAAACACAATGAGCACTGTGTCCACCTTGCAGAAGACAAGAAGTCTGGGCTAGTACAAATTCAGCTAACAAGGTTTTAAGCCCTAGGCAAAGATAAAATATTATACCTGAAAAATAACCTCTTAGTAACTTCCAGCTTAAATTGTATTGACTCTTGCCATTATAGGAACTTAGGTTAATAGTTCTGCAGTCTTAATTAAAAGGATAAGCCATTAAATCAATTTCCTGAAGTGAATTATCAGAATAACTTCCCATTAGCTAGAGATTACAGTATGTTCCACCTTGAGGCTGTAAAATCATGAGGATTACCAGACATTAGTTCAACAAATATTCAGTGATAAATGAAGTATCAGGTTGTGCTAAGTGTTTGGTAGACCAAATGAATTATCTCATAATTTTTCCTCAAATCACTTTATTTCTAGTAACAAATTGAGACCTACCATTCCTATTCCCATATGGAAGCTAAAATATGTTAAGACCATTGCTATAGGACTATTTTTCTACATTATGATACTATCTCTGCTAAATTACTCTTATAGACTATCAGTTTAAGTTTTTTGTTTAAAAAAAACTCTTTTTAGAACTCTGGAAAGTTATGAAATTCACTGAATAAAAAACTTCAATTTTGTTCCTTAAATATAATAAAATTCTGATATATGATGGTAAACAAGTTAAATTATTGGGCAAGTAATCTCCAATCACCTAAAATTAATGTCGTAAAGAGGTTCAACTGAACATTGAAATGAGTGAGTTTCAATTATCCTAAAAATGATAAATGACTTATTATTTGCGTGTGAATCTAAAGCGTGTTCCTTATGAAATAACAAAAATTGAGGAAGACAATTTTAAATATAAGGTTAATAGGTACGCTGGGCAATAAATTCAAACTTTTTATTTAACTTACATCTGCTTAGTTTTTTTATTGAGTTAAGTATAAAGGCCCAGTTAATCAACTCATTAGATTGGTCAAGGCAAGACACTTGAACTACATAACAGTATTTAAAAAGCAGTTGGTCTTTTTGTAATTCTCTGATAATCACACACACACACACGCACATACACACAAATTGGTAGAGTACTCTAGATATAGGATTTCCCCCCATAATCTCATATAATGCACTGTTCACAATCTGCAGTGTTCTGAAAACTATATAAATTGGACTGACCAAATTAAAGATGCCTGATAAACTCTTATAAAGTTTTGGGGAAACTTCGGCTATATTCCCAAAAAGATCGATTTTTAAACTATAAAAAAGGAAAATTCATATAAAATCACAACAGATTTAACAGACATCTTTGAAAAAAAAAGTCAAATTGTAACTCAATTTTCTACTTTTCCAAATATGACTAAGGAAAAAAAGGTACGAGTAGTAATCTCTACATTTTTTAAAAACTATTAACTGAGTGGATTTGGGGAAGAAAAAAAAGCTATACAGTATTATTGCACTCCACGAATGTGCAGAATTCCAAAATGTGCCAGCACTGAAGAACTGTCTTGCATTGAGGTTTTCCAAGAGGTACAACGAGCCTGCCAAGAAAGCATCTGGTCTGTACTAACAGCTTGCTGTCTTCAGTACAGGCCTTCATAATGTCAGTCACGCTGCTCTTGCAAAAAATCCCTTAATGTCTGAAAGACATAGACAAAAAGAAGTATTTTATTTCAAAATTCACTCTTATAAAAATCAGCTCTTTAATAAGAAAAGAACGGAGAACATCTCTGCTAAGCAAAAGTTAACTAACATTCACCTCTCTGTGTTCACACGTTTACTTATAAATTTTCTATCTTGACCATGTTAAAAGAATCTGCATACTCTTAGCAGCTAGTTATCTGCAGGTAAAGGGAAGAAATGTATATAAATATTCTAGCATAATATACCAATTATGACCCTTAGGCATTCACAGTCCAAAAAATGACGTTATAGGACCAGCTATTAAGCCTTGAAGATAAAGTTATTAGCACAACCCTACCTTGTTTTGGCAGGTCCAAATGCTCTTCATCACTTAATAAGTTTTAATAAGAAAATATTCGTCTATTAAATCTCAGGTTGGGAACTCAAGTGATAATAGATATTAGAATACCTAGTCTCTTGCTGATTTGTGATGAGAATGATACTTATAAATAGTTACTGTATTTTTAAACTACTTACAAAAGAGTTTTCAGTGCTGATAGGTGGGGCTATGATCGGTGATGTGGGATTGAATCCATATGCACATTGAGCTTCATTTCATTGTCAAGAATTTGAACAAGCTGCTGCATGGATGGGAGGTGACCAGATTCCAGCTTGGACCACACAGGCACATCTATAAAAATAAATAGTCCCACCCCCTAAAATTAAAGAGGAGTCTATAATAAATGTTCCCTCTACAAACATTCATTGTCTACATATGCAGCTAGGGATACAGAAGTGAACTCAAGAATTACACTTCTGTAATTACAGTGTTATATAGTTTACATTCCAGGAGGGGAAATACAGAAAGTACTATACAAAATAGCTACAAATCACAACTGTGTATTAAGAATTAAAACCAGAAGAAGCTGAGGGACACAGGGGAGTCTAGAAAGGAGCCTTTGCACTTTACTATTATTAAAAGTGAGAGGTATTATTAAAATTGAAAGATACCACTAGAAGAAGAGCTGATATACAGGAGAAGAGTGGTACAAGAAAAGCTGGAGAGGTGAGCGGGGACTAGATCAAAGTCAACAAATTATAAAGAGCCAGGCAGTAAGCATTTTCAGCTTGAGAAGACATACAGTCTATCACAGCTGCTCAACTCTAACTGTAGTCTGAAAGAAGCAACACACAAAACATGGGCATGGTTGTGTTCCAATAAAATTTTATTTAAAAAGCAGGGAGCAAGACACAGAGTCCACACGGCCATGGTTTGCTTGCTAATCCCTAGGCTACATCATGCAGGACCTTTTGGCTATGTTAAATGTTCTGGTTTTTAATCTTGAGGACAAAGTAAAGCCACTTAATGAACCAGAGGCAGTGAAGCAATGAGATGAAAGTGATGTGCATTAAAAAAAAAAAAAAAAAAATCATTCCACTGTTTGGAGCAAGTATCAGCAGATTTTTCTGTAAGAAGCCGGATAATAAATGTTTTAGACTTTACAGATCAAGAGCCAAAATCCAAGACATCACAAAGGTCACCAGAGAACTAAATTTCCACAAATTTTTTGATGAAACTCAAAACTTCAGGTATAATAAACACTACATTTTGAATTTCATTTAATTTCCATGTGCCATAAAATATTCTTTTGATGTTTTGGAACCATTTAAAAAGTGTAAAAACTACTGTTTATTCACAGGTCACATCTGACAACCTTTGGTTTAGAGAACGTATTAGAGGGTAACAAAACAATTATGGCTTGGACTAGGGTGGTGGTGATAAAGAGAAGTCGATTTTTCAGAAATGTAGAAGGCAGAATTAAGAATCAGACTTAGTATGTGCTAGCTTCGGCAGCACATATACTAAAATTGGAAAGAATCAGACTTAGTAATCCCTTAGAAATGGAGAGGAAGGGAGAAGCTGAGGTGATCCTAGGATTCTCACATCAGTAACTGGGTAGAATGATAATGGTGCCATTGTAAGTAAATGAGAAATGCCATGGAAGGAGCAAACTGGAGTACACAAGATTTGCAAGAAGCAGAGCCAGTCAACTGGGTGGGAGTAGGAGTTTAAGATGCCCAAGTATAGCACCTAGAAGAAAGGTCTAGAGTTCTGTAGAGCATATTCAGGAGTCATTATATGGATATAATTCTCAAGCCAGGGGAGATGAGGACCATATAAAGTGATAGTTTTGCATATTATGGAAAACACAAAAGCCTAAAGGTCATTACAAATCATTTAAAATGTGTTAACAGAATGCAAATTATTCAGAACCCACCATTCAAAGTTATCTCAAATGCACCTGTTGACATACACTGGTTCTCAATCATGTTGCTCAGGAAGAAAACCATCATACATGCATAGACCTAAAAGAAAATATAATTAGGTACGACAGGCAATGTTAAAGACAAAACAACATTACAACTAAAGACACAGTAATCTTTTAAATATAGTCTCGTTTTTATTAGGTAATGGTTGTTTTTAAATCTACTTTAAAAGTTTCTATACAGACTATTATTGCTCTTCTGTATGTTCAGATAGCATATACAGAATGAGAAAAATGCAAAATTAATTCGCAGCTTTATGCACACTGAAGAATATACATCCATAATGTAAAGACAGAATTTCTAGAGATCTCATAATAGCCTTAATAAGTTAAACAAAAGAATACCAGCATAAGAAGGGTTTATTTCACCATTTTTATAATATAAGGTATGAATTCACAAGAGACTAGTGATGCAATAAACAGCAACTCCACATATTCAATACAACCTGTCCACGTTCCAAACAAATCATTTTGAGTCAAATAGGAAAAAAATTGATAAGAGAAAGCACTCCTATATTGGATTATATTCACTTCCCCTTTGAAGGCATATTTATACCCTTTCCAAAGAGACTAGACATTCCTTGGTGGACAAAAGGGTTTAATAAAATCACCTGACTAAAAAGCAGGATGTAGTGAAGATAACAATTCACAGCAAGTTGTTTCAAAAAAAGCTAGTAAAAATGCCCATAGTAAGAGACAAAGTGCCCTCCTCCCAGTCCGACTTGAACTGGGTGGACCTTGATCTCATAGAGGTTACTCTTCGCATTTGAAACACACATCTACTTTCATGGGAACAATACACAAGGGAGTTTCACGAAAGCTACAGCTTTCAAGTATATTCCTCTTCCATAGATCTACAATGTTATATGTCTTCCGAAGTAAAATGCACTGAAGACAGAATCAATAGAATTAATAAATGTAACACAAAACATTATGAGTACTTAACTTCCAATCCTTAATCTTATACAAATCAATCTTACTAATAATGGAGCAGTGACACAGCTCAGTGAGAGAGTATCTAATGTTGTTTATTTTAAGAAGCCTTGCCTGTTACTGGAAATACATGGGTCCCTAAGAAAAAAAAGCAAAGCTATGTAGGAGTCCACTAAAAGTAGTTACAGCCTAGAACTAAAACACAAGACCAGAAACCAGAATAGTTCTTAGAAGGAAACCTAAGAAGCAATCTCATCCAAGAGAGCAATAAAACTAGTATTTCTCATAGCAGAAAGACTCGCCCAAAAAGATGATTTTAAGCAAAACAAATGAAAGAAATCTAAAAATAATGTATGCTACAGCAAGACCCTGCAAAGGAAAAAGAAAATAGCACAAGATTTATATGTATATATATTGACTGAACAGAAGAGTCAAAGGACAAATAATAAAAACAAAATTTTATTAAGAACAAATCAGCAAAAATTCCATTTTTAACGTGAATAAACCCATTAATACCCATATTGTTTGGTATAAAAGGCTTACATTCTATGTATGTTTTTAGGGTATCACTTGACCTAATCTATATAATCAATATCAGGTATTAAATTATTTTGTGCTGAGGTTCTACTAAAGTCACATCTCACTATCCTACAAATAGTAAAAAGATGTGGCGCGTGGGTGGCTCAGTCGGTTAGCGTCGGACTCTCAATTTCGGCTCAGGTCATGATCTCACAGTTCTTGAGTTAGAGCCCTGCATGGGGCTCTGTGCTGATAGTGCGGAACGTGCTAGGGATTCTCTCTGTCCCTCTCTCTCTGTCCCTGACCCTGTCCCTCTCCCCCCATCAAAATGAATAAACCTAAAAAAAAAAAAAAAGTAAAAAGATAAGAGCTAATCATTCTTAATACATAAACATAAAAACTAAGGGCAAGAAAAGAAAAACAAATACAAACAAAAAAACTAAGGCCATTTAACCATTTTTGTTAAATGTCTTGCCCAAAAATTAAAAAATGATTAGAAGCTGAAAGAATACACGTAGACAGGTGAATCAGCAACAAGTAGTTAAAAACAAAACAAGCAAACAATCCAGTAAGTATTCCCACTGACGACCTAAATATCTACAGCTACCAAAACTATTAAGTTACATACCTTATTTTCTTGGCCCCACTGCCAGATGCTGGGAGCTTGCATGCCAAAGAAAGCAAAAGGATCCTTGCCAAGAATTATTAAGCCTATTAATACTAGTTTGAAGACTGACAGGAAAGATGCTATGTGTCTATCAAAAGAAAAAAAATACAAATTCATCAGAAGCCATATTTCTCACCTAATTCAAAAACTTCATAACTCAAGTATATGGATACAGACATTTTCTAGACACCAAATCTAAAAGTTACTAATTACAATCAGTGAAAAAGATAGTGATTGAAGTTCACTGTGGAGTTTTAAAACAAAATGCTAAATACCTTTTAAGTCAATCAAAAATTAACTTTTAAAATTATATAGCATTAGCCTTTAAAAATCCGATTAACAGCACAGAATTTTATACCATAGCTCTTCATCTATTTCCAAAATAAAAATTATATAAGAAAACACATCTTTAGAAGGCTGCCACTTCTGAAAAAATCCTCTTTTCCTTCTTTCAGTGAAATTCTTCTATATTTGAGTCAAATAAACTTGCTATTTATAAAAAAGGTTCTCTGCACATTATAACCAACTAAAAAATTATAATAACCAAGAAAAGTTAATTGAACTAATTCGCAGAAGTTTACTTACAAAAGCAAAAATAAATTTACTTAAAAAATTTCTTTTAAGTTTCTAAAATTTACTTACCTATATATGGGTTGAGGGAGGTAATTTTCTCCTTCAATGCGGATGTCTGGGTACCGCTGGCTTATAACCCGCATGTACTCCTCAAACACCCGCCTATAACCTCAGGAAACACTGCAGAAAAATAAAAGTGCTTCTGTTACGTGCTTCAGAATACGCCTACACTTATTTTCCATTTAGACAAAGTCTAAAAATTGCCAAGATTAAAAGTGTTTCTAACGAACAGTGACAAAGGAATAATGATTGATGTTGGATGATGGCAACATGGAGGTTTTTTTCACAAATTTCACATATTTAAGTTACCTTCCCCCATGTATATTCATCTATTAGAACCTTAAAAGTTATAGATTGGGGTTATTGTTGGGCAGTAGCAGGTATCTATTCACATATGTCAGCATATATTGAGCTCTCAAATCACTTTGCTTTTTGGGGGGCTATCAATAAGCATAAACACTGAAACGAAAACAACTCTTATACATCTGAAATAGAGACCCGTACAAATGGGGCACAGAAAGCTTACAAAACACCAAGGCATGAGACATTTGGTTCTCATTCCTATTCTGCCCCTAACTGGGCAAACACGCCTGCTCGATCACAATAAAACTAACTTAAAGAACTCTTAAATCCCTTCTTACTCTAAATTTACTTCTAACTTTACAAAGGAAAACAAAGATTGGGAAGATAATTTTCAGCAATATGACAGCAATCCATATCATTACTCTAGCAATTAAGTCAACAACATCCAATACTGCCATTAAAATTTCTGAACACTACACTGTGGACATAGGACAGGCTTTCCCAGTAAGAAAAGGGAAAAAGACCACCAGAGTGCATATACGGGGGAGAGGAAAACTTTAAGACACTGATGAAAAAAACTGAAGACACAAATAAATGAAAAGACATCTCGTGTTCACGGATCAGAATTTATATTGTTAAAACGTCCTTACTACACCAAAAGCAATCTACAGATTCAATGCAGTCTGTATAAAAATTCCAGAAATAGAACAATCCTAAAATTTGTATGGAATCACAAACAAAACAGAACAAAACAAAAACCAAAAAAACAAATAACCACAGCAATCTAGAGAAGAAAGAACAAAGCTGGAAGCACCAAGTTTCCTTATTTCAAACTATATTACAAAACTACAGTAATCGAAATTGTATAGTAGTAGCACAAAAACAGACACACAGATCAATGGAACAGAATCAAGAGCCCGGAAATAAACCCACACAAATATGGTCACTTAATTTACAACAAAGGAGCCCATGCTGACAAAAGGATGTTCCTTCAACAAATCGTGATGGGAAAACTGTCAGCAACATGAAAAGAATGAAACCACTATCTTCTCTCCTACACGAAAATCAACTCACAATGGATTTAAGACCTGAAACCAAAAACCTCTTTGAAGAAAACATAGTGGGTAAGCACCTTGACATTGATCTTGGCATGATTTTCTGGATTTGATCCTAAAAGCAAAGGTATCAAAAGCAAAAAATAAACAAGTGGGACTACATCAAACTAAAAAGCTTCTGCACAGCAAAGGAAACTATCAACAAAATAAACAAGCAACCTACAGAATGAGAGCAAATACTTGGAAATCGGATATCTGAAAAAGGAGGTGAATATTCAAAATACATAAGGAACTCATATAACTCAAAAGCCAAAAGTCAATAATCCAATTACGAATGGGCAACCAAGGACAACATAAAAATGGCCAACAGAGGGGCACCTGACTAGCTCAGTCGGTTAAGCACTGGACGCTTTTTCAGCTCAGATCATGATCTCAGTTTATGAGATGGAGCCCCATGAAAGGGCTTGGTATTCTCTCTCTCCTCTCTTCTCTGCCCCTCCCCTAAGTGTACCCTCTCTTTCTCTAAAAATTAAAAAAAAAAACATTTTTTAATGGCTAACAGATACATAAGAGTGTTCCACATCACTAATCAACAGGTAAATGCAAATCAAAATCACAAGGAGCGCACAGCAAAGGAAACAACCCACAAAACTAACAGGCAACCAACAGAATGGGAAAAGATAGTTGCAAATGACATATCAGATAAAGGGTTAATATCCAGAATCTATAAGGAACTCACCAAACTCCACACCTGAAAAACAAATAATCCAGTGAAGAAATGGGCAGAAGATATGAGCAGACACTTCTCCAAAGAGGACATCCAGATGGCCAACAGACACATGAAACGATGCTCAGCATCCCTCCTCATCAGGGAAATACAAATCAAAACCACACTGAGATACCACCTCACGCCAGTCAGAGTGGCTAAAATGAGCAAATCAGAGAACTCTAGATGCTGGCGAGGATGTGGAGAAACGGGCACCCTCCTACACTGTTGGTGGGAATGTAAACTGGTACAGCCCCTCTGGAAAACAGTGTGGAGGTTCCTCAGGAAACTAACAATAGAACTCCCTTATGACCCAGCAATAGCACTGCTAGGAATTTACCCAAGGGATACAGAAATGCTGAGGCATAGGAGCACATGTACCCCAATGTTCATAGCAGCACTCTCCACAATAGCTAAAACATGGAAAGAGCCTAAGTGTCCATCAACAGATGAATGGATCAAGAAGATGTGGTTTATCTATACCATGGAATACTACATGGCAATGAGAAACAATGAAATCTGGCCATGTGTAGCAACATGGATGGACCTTGAGGGTGTTATGCTGAGCGAAATAAGTCAGGCAGAGAAGGACAAATATCATATGTTTGCACGTATAGGAGGATTAGGAGGAACTTGACGGAGGAACAAGGGGGAGAAGAAGGGCGGAAATGGTGGGGGAAAGGGAGAGAGGCAAACCATGAGAGACTCTTGAATGCTGACAAAAACTGAGGACTGATGGATGTGGGGGGGAGGGGGGATGGGCATGGAGGAGGACACTTGTGGGGATGAGCACTGGGTGTTATGTGGAAACTAATTTGACAATAAACTATTTGTAAAAAAAAAAAATCATCAAAAAACAAAAAACAAAAAAAACAAAATCACAAGGAGCTATAACCCCCCACCTGTTAGGACACCTATTCTCAAAAAGATAAAAGATAATAGTGTTGGCAAGGATGTGGACAAACGGGAATCCTTGTGCAATGTTGACAGGAATGTAAATGGTGCAGCCCCTCTGGAAAACAGTATGGAAGTTCTTCAAAAAATTAAACCCAACACTACCATATGATCTAGCAATTCCCCTTCTAGGCAGATATCTGAAGATATTACTATCTTTAAGAGGTATCTGCATGCATCTTCATTTTAGCATTACTTACAATAGTCAAGACATGGGGGCCTGGGTGGTTTAACCAAAGCATCTGACTCTTGATTTCGGCCTGCGTCATGATCTCACAGTTCATGAGTGAGATTGAGCCCCATGCCAGTGCATGACAGTGCAGAGCCTGCTTGGGATTCTCTTTCTCTTTCTCTTCTTCCTCCACATTATGTGCACTTCCTCTCTCTCTTTCTCCCTCTCTCTCCTCTCTCACAGAATAAACTTTTAAAAAAATAGTCAAGATATGGGAACAACTTAAGTGTCCACCGACAGATGAATGGATAAGAAAATGTGGTATAAAGGTGCCTGGGTGGCTCAGTCGGTTAAGCATCCGACTTTGGCTCAGGTCATGATCTTGCGGTTTGTGGGTTCGAGCCCTACATCGGGCTCTGTGCTCACAGCACAGAGCCTGGAGCCTATTTCAGATTCTGTGTCTCCCTCTCTCTCTGCCCCTTCCCCACTCTGTCTCTGTCTCTCAAAATAAAATAAACACATAAAAAATTTTTTAAAAATGTGGTATAAATATACAAGGGAATATATTCAGCAAAAAAAAAAAAAAAAATTCTACCATTCACAACGACATGGATGAAACCTGAGGGCATTATACTTAGTGAAGTCAGAAAGAGAAACACAAATTGTATAATCTCGTATTACATGGAATCTAAAAAAGCCAGGCTTAGACACGGAGACTGGAGGTTGTCAGGGGCTATGGAACGGGCAAAATGTGGAGAAGCTGGTCGAAGGATACAAACTTCCAGTTGTAAAACAAATAAATTCTAGGGATCTAATTTACAGCAACGTGACTATAGTTAATAAGATGTATTGTATACTTGAAAGTTGCTAAGGGAATAGATAATAAATGTTCTCATCTAATAAAGAAGGTAATTATATGAAGTGATGGATGTGTTAATTAACCTTACTGCGGTAATCATTACATACATGTGTACGAAATTATCACCTTAAATATACATAATTTCTACTTGTCAAGCATAGTTCAATAAAGCTGAGAGAAAAAAAGGAGGTGGTACCACCAAATCAACAAAGAGCTTACAAACTCAGGATTGTTAAGCATTTAAGTACATTAAATTCTTAGTTAAGAAACACATAAATATAAAGCAATGAAAGTACAGAGGAAGCAGAATCAGTAATTAAGTGATAGTAAAATGTAAGGTGCCAGGTTTGGCAATCACACTATCATCAAGTAAAAACATACCAAACACCACCACAGGCGTCGGACATTAACAGTACAAACATTAGGTCTCAATTTAAGAAAACTCTTTTTTCGGGGAGGTGGGGGGGGGGGCGGAGAAACAAATTCACCTGTTTACAATTAATACTTCTTATATATTCAGAATAAAAATTTCACAAAAGATTAAGTCCCTAAGAAGTATGAAATTTTTGCAAAGGGAGACACATTTCTGCAGCTATACTTAAAAGAATTTAGGAATCTCCACATACTTTACTAAACAATTACCTTATCTAATATTTTATAATTACTGTTGTTAGATTCACCAAATAGTAGTACTTAGTCACAACTGCTTTCTCTGTAAGGAATTTTTAGGGGCGCCTGGGTGGCTCAGTCAGTCGAGCCTACGACTTCAGCTTAGGTCATGATCTCACAGTTTGTGAGTTCAAGACCCGCATTCGGCTCTGTGCTGACAGCTTAGAGCCTGGAGTCTGCTTTTAGTTCTGGGTCTCCCTCTCTCTCTCTGCCCCTCCCCTGCTCATGCTCTCTCTCGCTCTCTCTCAAAAATAATAAACTTTAAAAAGAAAAAAAAAAGAAATCTTTAATGGTGTTTTTGTTTTGAGGATATTACAAAAATAATCTAGCTCACCTATATGC